GCTTTAGTCTTCAGAGGTTGTGAATGTCCCCTGTGCTACTTCAGACAGCCCATGCTCATTTTGCCTGTTTTGCAAATGAACAAAAAATATTTCATTTATTAAACAGACCTCTAAAAATGTATTTTTGGTCTCTGTTTTTTTTTACTTTTTTGTTTTGTTTTGTTTTTAATTTTCTCAGAAGCAAGTTATTTTTAAATTTAGTACAGACTTCGTTTCTCCTCAACAAATACTGGTACAATATTTGGTAAAGATTAAAATTGACAGGAACTGTCAATTATACTGTTAAGAAATAATTGCGAACCTTCTGAACAGTTCTTCCATTCAGAAAGTTGGTCTTTTGATGTCTGTTTTCCAACCTGTGATGTCCTAAGCTTTTGAGGTGGGGAGAAGTAAACTCGGAAGCTACAGGACACTAGAATATCTTAACAAGAGAATATTAGTAGGTTTTAAATATATTGATACAAAACATTTCAGACTAAAATGTAGTCACATTTTCTCATCTTATTATTTGAGATGGTTTTACTTTTTCAAATATGCTGTGAAAATCTGTGCTTTTTCTGTGTGTATGCCATATCCCTGAAATATGAGATCCAGAATTCTGGGGTTTAATCAATTAAATCATATTAATTAAGAACAAGAACAGCATAATCAAAAAATGGAGAGTATTTTTATGTGATGATGTCTCATAGAGGAACATATCTGAGCTTTTTGAGTGGACTACTTTGTATAACAGAAAAAAATATCACAGAAGCTATGAACAATACCAGGGCGTTAGCCTTTATAATTGAACTAAATGGCAATGTAAAGTGTCCTTTTTTCCTGCCTCAGATGTCAAGCCACTTTAAAGCAGTATAGCTCAGTATCAGAATATTGGTGATTTTTTACTGAAAACACTTGAATGCTGAAATTATATTCAAAATACTCAACATGTTTTGTGCCAAGAAAATGACTCCACAGTATGACCATCTGCAAAGCAGAAAATACTCTTGGGCATATTTGGAACTCAGCATGTGGTCCCTACTGCAGACAGCACAGTAACTAATTTTACAAGAGATTGGCATATCTCTACAATGATTTTTATCTGAGCCTAGCTAATGAAGCAGGATGTGGCTTAGAAAGGTGTAATGTGTGTCTATGTCAAATAATTTTCTTATTAGAAGGGAAGCAAATGTAGTCACAATCAGCTTTTCCAAAATGTGCAATAGCTAGCCATGCAGATACATACAGAACTTTTGCTTTTGCCTTCCTTAGGCAAGTGTTACCATGCACAAGCCAGGTGATGGCACACTCAGCCTAGTGGCAATACCTGTTCCTGAGCTTGATTTGTAGCTCAGATGTTTGAGCTGCTGAGGCATTTGCAAAATTGATTTAATGAAAAAAAGAAGGTTACATCTGCCCTGTCCTGCCTGGCAATGCAAGCTGGAAAGAAGTCTTTAGGCTGTCCTTTCCACATCACCAGGCTATCTGGCTACCTGTGCACAGCTTCACCCACAAAATTATCTAGAATATTCTGGATAGAGTGGTCAGGCAACTGTCATAGAATCATAGAATGGTTAGGGTTGGAAGGGACCTTAAAGACCATTCAGTTCCAATCCGCCTGCCATGGGTAGGGATATCTATCACTGGACCCTGTTGCTCAGAGCCCCATCCAACCTGGCCCTGAACACTTCCAGGGATGGGGCACCCGCAGTTTCTCTGGAAAACCTATTCCAGTGGTTCACCTCTCTCACAGTGGAGAATTTCTTCCTAACATCTTGTCTAAACCTACCCTTTCAGTTTGAAGCCATTCCCCCTGTCTTATCACTAAATGTCCTAAAAGATACTAAAAGTATCTTTTCACCTTTCTTGTAAGCTCCCTTCAGGTGCTGGAAGGCCATGTTAGTTCACCCTAAAGCCTTCACTTCTCAAGGCTGAACATTCCTAGTTCTCTCAGCCTCTCCTCATAAGAAAGGTGGTCAATCCCTCTAATCATCTTGGTGGCCCTTGGATAAATGCGTATCAGTGCAGCGACAGATGTTCAGTCGTCCCTTTTCTTCTTATTTTCTTCAAATACTGATTTTAGACTCCTTAACTCCTACGCAGGAAAAGTACTGTGCCTTCTGTTGCAGGCATGCAAAGAGTTGCTGCCAGGACATTCTGACCTTGATTACACAGAATTGCTCTATGAATATGTTTTCTGAAGTTCCCAGCATTTTCACTATGAGCATTGTTAACTTGAACTCTGCAGTTGCTTGAATACATTTAGAATTCAGAGGTTCAAAACCCAAAGACTCTAGCCTTCCCACAGCCTTTGGGAACACTGAGTTCCCAAAGATATTTTACCAAAAGCGAGATAGATAGCTGGAAATTGTATAGTGCTTTTTTACAGAGTGAGAGAACTTGTAGCCCAGGTTTTCCGGCTTTTTTTAAAGTCTTCTCTGCTCTGCCAAGACAGGGCATGCAAGGAGTACTCAAGGCTGCCTTGCAAAGCCTTGCCCTGGGCTTCAGCCTTTTCAGCTAATGTGTTTCCTCTCCTATGCTCAAGTGGCAGTTTTGATCAACAAGGTCCTAGAGTGAGATGGATCTATTGAGTAACACGCTTAAAGTCTGGTTATCAGGAGCTGGCAGATAAGAGAGGTAGGAGCAAAACTGCTACAATACCCAACCCTGCACTAGAAAAATAACAAGATTGCATATATTTTCTGGTGAATGCAGTGTGTCTTTCTGTAAGTTCCATGCTGCCACTAGAGAGAGAAGATGATGGGGACAAATAGGAAGAGAAAGGAAATGATAGACTAATTTATCCCTCAAGCATATATCTGAGAAATCCAAGTCTTTTCTGTGAGAGACAAAACCTATGAGGTATCTCAATGCACCAGTTGGACCACTGGAAGAGACAAAGAGGTGACAAGTGTTGGTGATGTCTCTGTGAGAGCAACATACAGTCAAGATTCCTAGGAAACTAAGGCACACCTGATGAAGCAAGAAGCATAGGTCCGAAAGTCCGAAAGTGGGCTGAAGACTGCCACTGGCCTGGACTTCCCATTCTATTGCCTCCAAAGGATTTGCTTCAGCAGAAGAAAGAGATGGGAAACCACAAGTGTTATGTTACTAGCCAGAGAGGATGACTCTGTAAAATATGGTCTGTCTGTTTTTCTTGAGTCAAAAAAAGTGATTTGGGGTGAATTTTTATCTTGAGGTGTACAATTTATTTTCCACTGATTATATTTTCAGGAGTAACCCTTATCTCAGTATCATGATGATCACTGTGTGATGCTTGCTGTGCTTTATTTCTAAGATGCATCAGACACGTTCTTTTAAACCAACTGCTTTCTACTTGCTCTGTGAGAAAATCTAGTAATTACTGTAACTAAAACACTTTTTTTGGAGTTAAAAAAAATGTGGTAAGGGTAGGAACTAAATACAGGTGCTAAACCATGGAATGGGATGTTGTTGTGGCTATAATGATCTGAACACATATGCAAGGCAGGGTTTGTAAAGAGGGGCAATTTTATTAGATAAACAGATGTAGGTGAGGGGGAAAAAAGGCATAGGACAAGTTACAGAACAATCAACCTCTCCTTTAGACCTGAAGAAAAGAGAGTGCACTTGAAAGATTTTTTTTAATAATCTCTTGCTGTAAATCTCACACTTCTTCAGAATGACAGGACAGTAAAATGTACTCTGAGGTGTGTTCCATTCCCACAACTGCCCATCTCCCCAAACCAATAAAATGTGATTCTTCCAGGTGATTCAAACTTTGGATTGGGTCCAAGCTAAAAACACACAAGGCATAACTGTATAGAAATTACTGATTGCCACCTGATGTAATCTGCCACAGTTGCTGAGCCATTATAAATTGAATGCTGATATAAATGTATGACATTGTTCTCCTGAACTCACTTGTTGATCCTGTGCATAGTTGATACATATGGATATGGCATAAAGTTAATATAATTTATGTCTTTATCCAGATGATGTTTCAAGTTTTTGATTATTTTGACTGCCCTTTAGCTTGTAGTTCATTGTTTCCCATTCTGTGGTTTTCTGGTTTGGTTTTTTGGTTGATTGGTTGGTTGGTTGGTTGGTTGATTTGCTTTTAAGTTTTATTGTGTATAAAACTATGTGTTATTGCATGGTTTTGGTTCTAAATATAATGTGCTGTTAGTCTCAACACATATTAAAAATAGTTAAACATAGTTTGGAGTCAGTTTGCTCATTCCTGTGAAATCATTGTCTTGCAGTGGGATAAGCCTTGTACCTAGTGGTCAGAGGGAAGGTCTGTGTGTTTACAGGAGCAAATTCTGAACACTGACCAGGTTGACCATGCAGAAAATAAGTTGCTAAATACTGAAAGGAACTGAAAGATTTGTTTGGAGCAATACAATTTCAAGAGTTTTTGTGGTGTACAGTTACTCTTTTATGAAAGGGTATAGATTCAAATCAATTTTTGACATATATTTCTTTCAGTCAACCCGAGTGCGACGGGAAGAATGAAGCAGTGTTAAAAAACTGAAGCAAAATATTGATGGCAATAATTTTCCCGATAATGTAAACATAAGGCCACTAATAAACTACTCACACTGTATTGAACTACTATAAATTAAAACCTTGTGCATCTTGTATACTGTGTAGAACATATGTATTACCAGGAATATTTTTGGGTTTGGATACTATCTAAAGCCTGCTGGTTTTGCTCTGACTGGAAATGCATAGTACAGTAGTAAAAAAAATTATGCTTTCTAACTCTCACATTAAAAGAAACATTTTTTTTAAAAGAAGGTGTGAAGCAATGTACAAAAGTGAACTGTATTAAGAGCAATATGCTAATTTACAATGAGAAAAGGTCTATTTAATAGTGTGAGGAAATATTTTCTTTTTTAGAGGAAAGCTAACTGACCCGCTAACTATCCTCACTTGTGAACAGAAATATAGTTGAAACTGTTTGTTCCAGTGCATTTCAAGCGAAATGAAGAAACCCACACATTCTTTTGCCATAAAGCTTTTTTCTGTCTCTTCAGGGAAGCAATCAGTCGTGTTTGTGAAGCCATGCCTGGTGCCAAAAAAGCCTTCAAGAAACGAAAGGTATATTTTTTTTCCTTGTAGTGCAGTTGAATGTATTTTCTCTGTTCAGCACTGTGAAGACCAGGCACAGCAGGCAGGTGACTTTAAAGTAGCTTTGAGAATTGCAGATGATTAATCATTTAAAGTATTGGCTGCTTTTACTCACTATATATTGTTGCTTACCCTTTTGGTCAGTATCTGCTTTTGTAGGCATTTGGAAATATAAATACATCTAGGATGAAGATTGTGCCTTTATGTTCCTTCTGTAGAAACCTCCTCCTTTTACCTTTTTTCTTCCTTTTGTGAACTGCAGGTGGAAGAGTGAAAATTAATAAATGGGATGCCTTTCCATAAAATGCATGAGTAAATCATGAACATGGGTTCTGGAAGATATAGCAGAAGCCTAAAACATATATAGTTTTGAAAGTGACTAGATTTGTTCTTGAAGGATAGATCTACTGATGACATTTAATGAGTTTGGTAATCACTGATTTCTGGAAATGGAAAGAGCATATGAAGTGATCCTTTGCTCCTTATGCTCTTTCCATAAACACTTGTGGCTGATGCTCAGTGCCCAGCACTGATGGTGTTTAGTGTGTACCTGACATCCTTATTACCATGCTTTTATTTTTATCTGTGTGCTGGGAGTTAGAGTCTTCAGACGGGGAGAGGAGGAAGCCTTGGCTCAGCTCCTGCACTGATGGCTCCCAACTGCCTCTTCCAGAGGCCTCCAAGCAAAGCTGGGATGTAATGCTATTTCTAAGGGAAGAAGCATAAAAAGTAGTTCATTATAGCCCTTGGGTGTGTTCTTGGGCACAGGAGAAGAACGGGCAGGTGAAGGAAAAGGTCTGCCTGCTTCCCAGCTGCTCTACCATCTAGGCAGAGTCTCAGCAGAAAGGAATGCAATGAAATGCCACTTGTTTGCAGTGGAGAATCATATCCTAGTAATCACATCAGTCATGTGACAACATGTGTCACAGTGTAACTGCAAATTGTTTTAGAAATTAGGGCTATGGTTTCACCTCCACCAAATTTCTTGCTTCTCTGGCTTTTCATTTTAAATCTGAAAGTAAGATGAAAGTATCTTTCTTCTCGGGAAGAAAAATGACACAAAATGTAATTGAAAAAATAAGGTAAACAGTTCCAAGTGCCTAGTGAGACACCTTGCTGTATTACAGGTTTTAGAAGTAATGCTGCTTATCAGTTATTAAAAAGAGCAACAAAATTTCAGATAAATGTCAAAGACATGTCTTTTGCTGGTCTCTGCGTTCATCATGTTTCTGCCACTAGTGGCATATAATTTTCCTTAAGATGACATGTACTTCCTGAGGCCAAATTTTCACATTTTATCTACACTGTGGGTAGGTAATCTTTAAGAATGAACTGGGAATCATGAAGGATTAAGAAAGAAGAGATATAATAGTACTCAAAAGAGTTTGTTCAAAAGAAAATTTAATGAAGTACTAGGTCTGTAACATGAAAGGGTTGAAATAGTGCAGCACATATTACATAGGATCAGTATGTACATAGTGTATTTTTAATCAGTTAAACAGAAGGAAAAATGAATGTATGCAAACTTCCAAGACTACAGAAGCTCAAGTGTGTCCATCTTGCTAGGAACAAAATTATCCAAGCTTGCAGACAGCTTAGGACAAATGCAAACATAGTGGCAGAAGAACAATGTCTCCAGTCATTTTAGTTTTGTATCCTAGTGTAAAATTAGGACCAGCATGAATATTCACCAGTGCAAGTAGAGCAAATTAAAGGACTTGGTCTGTTACTGCTGGGCAGCCTGATTTTTCATAGGCTGTGATTACTTGAATGCAGCTGCTCTCATGCAGCTATGTGGTTCCCCATAGCTGTCAAAAGTGAGAAGTTTGTGAATTTTGTTTGACAGCATAACTTCTATTGCTACAAAACCTCCTATGAGCTGGTGAAATGCCTGTAAAAGTTATCAATACTATGATATCCCCTGTATTACATTCTTCAACTTATTCTCTGATAATCTTCAGATACATGTTTTACCGCAGCATAAAGAGGTTTTATTTGTCTATATCTGGCTTTTACCTACTCTTAAGTCTACAAGCAAAGTCATAGAATGGTTTGGGTTGGAAGGGACCTGTAGAGATCATCTAGTCCATAACATTCTGTATCCTATTTTGTGAGCATTCCATCAGTATCACTGGAGTCCCACTTTACATGTGGGTCAGTAGATGCAGAGCAAACAACAGATTTATTTTCAAGAGTTGAAGCTATTTTTATATAACAAGAATATTGTCATTTTAAGACAATGACTGAAGGTATTCATCTTAGTCTGCTTACTTGGTCCCTCGGTGAAGATAAGATTGTGCTGTTTCACAAAACCCCTAGGTTTTTTTGGTCAAGAGTAGATGAAGAACTGCTTGACTAGTATCATTATTATTTTTAATGGTAGAAGTAGTTGTAGTAGTAGTAATAGTAGTGTAAATGAGAAATAATTCCTGAAGGGAAACAGCTGTTACAATTAAATGATCTTTGAAAAGTCATAAGCTTTTTAGAAGCCTTTAAGATCACCACTAACCCTGCATACAATGAAGGTCATTAAAAAAAATCCGAGAACAAAAATCTGCTTTTTCCCCCCCTCCTCACAGCCACCAAGCAAAGTCCTTTCTAGCATCTTGGGAAAGAGCAATCTTCAGTTTGCAGGAATGAGCATAATGTTGAATATCTCCACCAGCAGCTTAAATCTAATGAATCCAGATACAAAACAGGTGAGTGTAACTTCTGTATTAATTTGTGAGGCTTTTGATGAACAGCTGCACAATTATTTGCTGTCTGCCAAATACTCAGTTGCTCAAAATTATTATTCCTCAATAATATAATAAAATGAATTAACCCAAAATATAATCATAGTGGAAGTCAGCTTATTTCACTATCCAACACAACTTTGATAAATTATTTTCTTCTTGCCGTTTTTCAGGTAGATCGGTTTTGCTCTTAAAAGACCTGTGATGTGAAATATCATTTTTTGGTTGTGGGAGTTCTTATTGAATAAAATTACAAAGTTTCAGAGCCATAAAAGGAATGTGATTGGAGCAACAACTAAAATACTGAATGTGCATCCCCAATTTTATTGTTTTTTTTCCCATTTAGAGTTTTAAAGGGCAAACTGTTCCTGAGATGCTGCTAAAAATACAGCCTCAGGGATTTTGCAGTGCAGTGAAAGGCCAGTCTTTTAGAGAGACAAGGCAGCCTTTTTAAAGTAGCTCATTTCTTCTTCACTGTGCTGAAGGTACAGACAGACTTTGGGGAATCACTGCAGTGGTTTGTGAATGATGTATGAGACCAGAAAAATCCTTGCTCAGGGTATATATAAAGAGGAAGCAGACAGACATGCGTAGTCACTGCTGTGCTATTTGCTGTGAACCACATATTGTGTTAGGGCATGCAACTTTCTGCCCAGATACAGACAAAGAGGAAACAAGTAAAATCCTACTGTCCTTTGGGGCCTCAGGTTTAAAAAATAAGAAAGAATGTATACACTAGCTATTAAAAAGCTTGCTGTTCATTACTATGTTTTCATTTGTATATCTTCATTCTTATCCTTATTTAGAGAACATCACAGTCCTCTGCAGTGAGCACTGAGACTGTGGGCACAGTGCTGTGACTGGCTGCAGTAGTCTTGTAGCCTTACTATGGAATAAACAAAGCAGTGGTTTTCATAAGGACAGTTACCCCCATCGGAAGTATAAGAATTTAAGATGTTAATTAGCTCCACTAAGTTAGAAAGTTAGCTTGTCATCAGCCAGTGTTAGGGCAGAAATGTAGTTAAACTCATTTATTTCAGAGAAGAGTCATCCCCCACATGATTTGCCTTTTCTCTAAATTGACAAAGCTGTTCCTCTTCCTCTCATATAATTCTTTTTGAGGTAGATTCTTCTGGGTGCTGTAGGCCTGGGAAACGTCTGGTTTCTCAGAGCTCTCTAGTCTAGCTGTGGCCTCCCCCATTTCTTGTTTATGCCAAGGATTTGATTTGCAGATAAGCATGGCCCAGCAGCTTTGCCCTTTGAGGCCCCACACTGGAGGATGGCAGTCTGTAATAGCCTCTTTTTCCTGGCAGATCTGGAAGGAAATAAAAGACAAGACAGTGTGTGTGGTTGGCCCTTGCAGTAGAAGGAAAGCAACTGCATGTACCCCTGCACAACAGCTCTGTGAATATATTAAGCAGGGATGAGTGGAAAATGATTTTGTTTTATTTATTTTGTTAAAATGAAGGTTGGTGTCGATTGAAAGGTTTCTAAACTATATGCCAACGTTAGTGAATTGTTTTATTTGAAGCAATACAAGGCATTAATAGTTTACTGTGTCTCTTTTCAATATTTTGGTATTGGTAGAGGTGAGGAGGGGAATACCCCTACCTCAAACTAAATTAGCCGTGGAATCCAAAAAAGCTCCTGACTTGAAGTAATGGGTTCAAGCACTTTTCAGCTTCCTTAAAATTTGGAAAAAATTAGTTTAGCAACAATCTGAAATATTTTTTCTTTTATTGCTGAAATAAAAGATTAGGTTATTTGCACAAGTCAAGATAGTGATAATATAAAATTGTGTAACAGAACTTCACTAGTTCAGTTCTATAGTTAGGATATTCTACATTCAATATGTATTCTATGTACTATATATTCTATCGTTACTTCTTTAAGGGGAAAAGGAGAAGGAAATCCTAACTTCTGAGTAACAGAACACTAATTCACCAGTGTGCACTTAAAAACTAACCACATTTTTGGAGGCTCTTGTGGGACAAGCAGGGCTATTAAAAATGAAGTGCCCTTTACAGAAAAGAAACACTACAAATAGTAGTTACCTCTCACTGACTTAGTGAAGCAGCAAGATCCAAAGAAAGTCCTGTCAGGCTTTTTTCTTTCCAAGGAAGCTAGCTGATAGTTCAGGTATTTAAGAAGCAAGTTAGGGGAAACACTCAGAGAATATTTTTCTAGCTTATTTTTTTTTCCAGAATGTTTTTTTGCATGTGGTTCCCTCTCCAAAGTGAAGAATCAAGATCCTAATTCTATCGTCAGATTCTCTGAGGCACTAAACAGGGGCCTGTCCCATCCCAGAGGAATTCCTTGGCATGGCTTCTGTGACTCAAATATAAAGTGAATAAATATTTCTTTCAAATGAGCTTTTCTTTCTGGTTGTTACATGATTTCAGTATTAAAAGATTTAAGTTAATTTTCAGAATAGCAGAGACGTCCTGCTTTTATTAGAGGTTCAGGACAAATTGTCTCTTCCCAGAGAAATATCATATTAGTTCAAATTGTACATAAGCAATTTGAATTTCAAATGCCCTGAGTGTGCCTATGAATTTGTGTGCTACACTGCATCAAGACTCAAAATTCTGTTTGCATATTGTAAACATGTTGATATTTGAAACATAAAATGACCAGTAGGTGTTGGACGCAATGTTAGGAATCTTAGCTAGTGTACAGGTTGGCATGGTTTCATTGATTTCACCAGAGTGGCATCAGCAGAAAAATGGTTTGATGAATAGGACCTTTTGTTTCATTCATCATTATCTGTAATAAAGAAGGTGAGTTTAGCAGATTAAAATTTCTCCAAAGACACTCTCGGACAGGTCTGTATGATTTACTGGCGTTCTGAGTGCATTTAGCAATCTTGCAGTGTCGTGATACATTTTAAAGAACATCAGAATAGATACATTCATCACTAAGTCTGTTTATATTATCATGCCACTCTTTGAAGTCCTTGTAGGTAATTTTGATCTTGACTTTGGATTTTCACCAGCATACAAGCAAAGCAAAAAAAGAAATCAAAATTGCAAACTGTAAGAAACCCATCTGACTCACCCTTATTCTTTCTGATCCATACAGATCATAGCAAATCACCATATGCAATCTATCTCCTTTGCGTCTGGAGGTGATCCGGTAAGCATTTATCTAAAGCCACATAGATGCTGCTTTGTGAGGACCCTGTGACAAAATTTAAGGCATATCTTACCAAAAGAAAAATATAACCACAATAGCTCCTGCTTCTTCTTTCATATTTTTCCTTGATTGTTGCCATCAAGCACTCCTTGAGGGGCATGGCTGACAAGCGTTCATTGCATTCATAAGCATTCATATAGTAATTGATAAGCAGGGCTTTATTTTTCAGAGTAATGTAGAACAGTCGTATGGGCATTGTATGGATTTTTATCCTGTTTTCTATCTTGCACTTGTTATAGTAATAGAATATGTTGCAGCTATATTTATAGTATTTATGGTATTTATGGTATTTATAATATTTATAGTAATGCTTGCTTTTCTTTTTTTCTTTCCTTCTCAATTGTGTGCATTGAGAAGTTGGTGCTAAATTCTGCCTGCAGGTATACTTGCTACAGTAATGCAGCTTGAAGACAGGCTTTTAGGAAAAACACAGATCTTTCTCTCCTGTTTTGCAAAGCTTTTAGATACATCTAAAAATTTTACTCATTTAGATCAAAGGGCATATTCCTGCTTATTGTGCTTTTCCCTGTTTTTATAAGCTGTTAATCCAAATGTATATTAATAAATGGGCTTGAAAAGTATTTGTCACTGAGGAAGCAAGGGGAAAAATATAAATTAGTGACAGCGCTCACCTTTTACCTTAGAGGTTTGAAAGCTTTTAAAATTGATTAATTGAGTGAGTACCTTTTTCTCCAAGATGTGATTATCTATCATATATCAGTCATGTACTACAGTTAAGGCAATTTCTAGCCTGCTTTGTGAGTTAATTCTCTCAGTTCCACTCTGTTAAGGTGAAGATACTTGGTGCTTTCTCTGTTCATTTTGCTATTGTCAGAAAACATAAAGGCAAATTTCAGTGTTAGTATAGCTTTGCTGAGCTCAGTACAATTACAGAAGGGAAAAGGACACAATATCACAATAATTTGGGGAACAAAAATGGATCAACAGCAGCTTTGAAACACAACAGATTGCAATAGATGCTGTAAATGAACAATTCCTGAAGTGGGCAGGGGAGTGATTAGCACAGTTCCCTGCCTCCGTAAGAAGATTCTTTGCTGCCCATCTGCCATCCCAAATGTTAGGTCCTGGAAACACCATTTCACACTGCCCACTGATGAAATGATTTACCAGGAAAGAGGAGAGGAACACAGTAGAGTTCTGGATTTGGAGTAAACAAGCTTTTCTGAATGTTTTAGAGAGATAAAAATCTCGCTACTGAGTCAGTGATCTACCAGAGAAATAAAATTGCATGGTGCAAGGGAGCCTACAAGTTACAGTGAAATTATGAATTTGTGTTCCCAATAAGACTACTGCATGAATTCATTCTGGTGTTGGGAGGAAGAAAGTAGGTATGAGTATCTAAAGTTTTTCTACAAGCTTATCTCTGGTCTAGTAAGGAATAACTTTAAATCAAAAGCTCATGCAAAAAGCGGCTGGTTCTTTTGTCCTGGGTGTTCGTAGAAGATGACAAAATACAAGGATGTGATTTAGCTTACATCTTTATTTACTCATCAGAGAGCCATCTAGATGTAACTTTCATCAGCCTTTAATGATTTCCACTTGGTAGTGGACGGCCACTGCCAAATTGCATCTCCCAACCACAGCTGGCCTCCAGACCATAAATTTATCTCCTTATATGAGTTTGAAACTGGTTGGAGAAAGGCCGTAGTGACCTAGGAAGCTAGATGTGTGCCCATGTATATTCAGGAAGTGATTTCCTTATTTTGAAGTTATTTTAGAGTTTGGTTTATTAGGAGGTAAGATTACTCTCACTTTTCTACCCCATCCACCTTTCTGCTCTGGATGTCTGCCTCCCAGCAATTAGCTTTACAACCTTCCTCACACTCCCTTACCATTAATTATATTATTTAAAATATAACCCCTGGAGAAGGGTTCCACAGTCTTGGAGAAGGGTTTGAATACCATATATACTTTTGCAATATTTCCCTTTGTGATGAGTCAGTTTCTGGCTGTGCCAGTATATGGGAGCTTAAAAATCTCCCTACCAGATCCTTTTACACACCATTTCAGAACCATTTTTATTTCACTTCCAAGGCTATGTTCTCAATCCACTTTAACTCTCTTCAGCCCCTCCTGTGATACACTAAACAATTTTGCTCCACAGTAATTTCAGGTGGCTGTTTCCAGGCTGCCAGACAAGACATCTGTTTTTGGAGATATCTGCTGAAATTTTGGAGAGAAGGATCTCATAAAGTCTAATATACAGGTCTCTCAGAGGTCCCTGAAGGCAGTAGTTTTTCAATTTCAGCAATACCTCCAAATTTTAACACCACAATGCAATGTCTTTAGGCTGAAAATTTTAGCTCATTCATACTGGTTTTCAGTCCTTGAATGTCAAGGATCACTTTGCTATGTCAGCCAATCCCTGTATAGTTTTTGGATGGGGGTCTTCTAACTTAGCCCCACTGAAATGTCCCCACCTTAGGTACTTAATGGTTTGTCATAGTCAGCTTGAATCTCAGGCCTTTAAAAGAAATAAAGAATAGGTGTTTTCAGACTGTCACACCCACGCTAGCTATGAGATAGATCTAAGATTTACTCAGGCATAAATGTATCCATTAGCTATGCCTGAAGTAGTAAATAAATTGATATGTGGCCCATTTTCTAGTCTTTCTGGCCCTGAAATAAATAACAAAGTGCAATTTGGTCTCTTCCCTCATAGTGGTCTCTTGGGATCAATGCCAAGCATGTGCTGGTCCCCCAGGGAGTTTCAGGGCATGCTATGTGAAACCAGGACAGTGAAACAAGAGGTCTGTATTATTTGCTACTATAGACATAGTCACCTTTATTTTCCCCTTCCTTGTTGATATGCATCCTTATTTCCACTGTAGTGGAATCACTATCCAGACACTGTGCTACAGAATGTGTAAGAAATTACAGGACAAAATGGTAGGGCTATGCTTTTTTAACAGACCAACCTTACTGCTGCTGTATTTGAGTGCCTTCCAACGAAGCATTAAGTGACATGGTTACACATCTGTCACCAGAAACCATAACTGTGCTTCATCATTTCCCTTCCTGTCTCCTCAGGAAGGAAATTGTATAGACATTCAGTACAGTGATTTGTTTTGGGTGGCTGGTAGTGGTGTGTGCACTTGCACTAGAAAAAGCTATACTGAAGAAGTCTATATTTTAACTGAAGATTGATGTTTATTGTGACATTAGATCTTGGTGTAATCGGATCAGTCACCTGAAAAGGCTTTGGGTAGATTTACGCAGCCAGCTGTAATGTATCCTGTATATCCCTTGGGTTTAGCTATACCTGACTAGCCAGGCATGTCAGGAAATACCAGATCTAACCAGGACTTCCTGATTGCATCAAGGCAATATGGCATTTTCCAGATATATCAGCAGGCCTGAGTGTTTCCCAGAAACCCAGGGCTTTCTGTTTCATCTGCATAATGATAGAAGTCTGCACCACTTGTGCACAGGAGCATAGGGGTGGCAGGAGAGGAAGGGAAAAAAATCCCCAAAAAGATGTCTGTGTGCTCTTGCCAGAAAATCCACCAGGCATGTGGCAATAGGAGTGGCAGGGAGCAGCCTAAGGGCTGGGGGAGGGCGTCCAGGGATACTGCTTGTCAGAGCCAAGCAGGGGCTTAGCACCTCTGTGCCATATGGCACTGTAGTCAGTAAACACCTGCTTGTCACACATGAATAAATGCCATTGCTCAGTATTTCTGAGGAGCAGCGCTGTTACTCCCACTCTTTCTGCCACAGAACCAGATGATTATTCATCTTATGAACTAAAATCTCAGGGTGGTTTGAAGATAAGCACTTATAACTCTATTCCCTCCTAAATGAAGCTTGGGCCAAATCCTACCGAGTTTGTTTAATTGATGGACGAGATTTAAAAATTCTGATGCATTAGATCACATCCTGTAAAAAGGAAAGTGGTGCAATTAGTACTGAAACCCATAAACTTTTATATGGGTTTTAAGCAGTATGCAACTGTAGAGCAGAATATGCAATTTGAGGCTCTGCCCACAGGACAGACATACTCTGGAGTGTGATCTTTTGCTGTAATCAGTACAAATATGTTTTTGCATTCATTGTAGATATCTTAATTTTTTGACAGGATACTTCAGACTATATTGCATATGTAGCTAAGGATCCTGTTAATCGCAGAGGTAAGTTGGAAATATCTATTTGATGTCTATTTTTCCTTTGAGAAACACTAATTATTCATCATTTCAGTCAGATTACACCCCCCACCTTCTCCACTGAAAAACAGAAATGTAGAATGTAGCCCAATCAAAAGATTGCCTTTGACAGAGCCATGGAAAGATTGTGTATAAATAAGAGGCAGCAGTTTTTTTCTCAAGCTTGGAATAAACAGGTCTAGCTGCTCACTCATACCTAAATATCACTTTGATTCTCTTCATCTCTTACATCAAACACTTGCCTTACTTGGCTGTGTGAGCTTCTAGGCAACAGACAAGTCTTACCTACACCCAACCACTGTGCAAGAGCTAAGCAGTCTTCTGATTAAGTCATCTGATGAGGCAGCTGAATCTTCTTAGGTCTTCTCAGTACATGCCTAACTTTTCCTGGCAGAATCAAATTCTTTATCAAATATCTAACTTTTCAGCCAGCTTGCTGTAATTATCTTTCTCAGTGAAGTTTTACTCAAGGTTGCATTGCTTTAGTAGCAATCTGTCAGGGACAGGGAACTACTGGTTGATTGTGTTCACTAGGTCTTAATACAACATACAAAGTATTTTGCAATGTACCAGAGAATCTATTTACTATTCATAGATCATAGAGAGAGAAGAATAGAGTAGGGAAAAAAAAAAAAGAAAAAAAGAAAAATTAAGTACTTCCAACAGGATTTCTGGAGAATTCCGGCACTTTAACTCCAAAATGCCAATCCTGCAAACCCTCAGCCACCCACTTTACCATTGGCACAACTAATCCAGTAGCTTCCATATGTAGTCATCTTTAACGATACCTGAAGAATCTGCTGGGTCGATATGTAGAGATGTCCAGACTTGAGAGTATTAGCTCATAAATAATACCTGCACTAAGTATACTAATATGCTGAATGCAGATGAAATACCTAGAATACTCAAAGGGAGTGGGAGGTACGGAATAGGTCAGTTCTTTGCAATGCTTGTGACATTACAACATCATGTGTACCATGTCGCAGAGGCTCCAGTGTCAGACTATGGAATGCATAGTGCAGAGCTGCTCTCCAGCCCACCTGCTTTAGCAGCTCCCTTCTGCTAAATCCAAGACTGATTTAGTTGTTCTGAGAGATCTCCGTCACTGTAGGGACTAGCACTGTGGACTAGATATTTGCTCTGTAGATTATGGAGAAGACCTGTGCTCTGTTTTCTGTCCCTGCATGAGTGGATTTTGTACACTATGTTTCTTTCTGCACTAAGTTATTCCTCTGCTGTGTTCCTTCTATCTTACATTGAATGTGTTTATCTTTAGCTTGCTGTGACTTTGAGCTAAGCTATCCTAGACTGAGGAATCATCTGAGCACCTGATATTGTTGTCTTCCTTTGGTGTATTCAGGTCAAGTAATTTCTTAGTTTTCTTTATGAAAAGATTGACAGTTTGTAGCATTCCAGCTGCAGGGCACATCCTCCATCCTTCAGATAATTACTGTACCTCCCTTCTTCATTTTTCTGCAGCTGTTTTAAAAAAGTATAGGATACCTGCATAACAGAGGCTGCCAGTATAGCAGAGAATGCACCTTCCTATTTTTTCCTGCTTTTGTCCTCTTTGTCAGCTGGTTCCTCCTAAGCCCTTTTTACTGCAGTGAAGCACTGTAACCTCATGTGAAATTCTTTCAAGCTGTGATCTTTAAGCCTTCAGCACTATGGCTTTCTCAGGGGTGCTTTCCCACTTGGGTGTATACATCAGTGGTTTGCAGATCGGTGTCTTTGTATGTCACCTGTATTAAAACACATTCTTTAAAAGGATAATTTACCAGGGGACCTGAATTGCCCTCTTTCACTTTCCATTCTGTCATTCTTTGTGTTGTCTGCAAATTACTTTAAAAGAGAATTTGTCTTTACATCTGTATCTAGTGGAAATGTTACTGCTGCTGTTGGTGATATTACCCTAGCACCAATGCTGTAGTATAGCTTGCATATTAGGCTCATTTCTTCCCAAGGATGGAAAAGCTTGTCTTCGTGCTTTGCATTCTGGATATAGCAAGCTAAAGGCTGTCTATTTTCTGCTGTAACATTCACAAGAAATCATCTCTGTGTGAGCCAAACCGTCTCATCCTTTTACAAGAAGCATATCTCCTACCTGCTGAAAGTCCATTCACGTATCCAAGGAAACAGGTTACTCATTATGTCACCTACTGAAACTACTTAATGACTCATGCTTCATTTCAGCTCCAGAAGGGTTTAGCAGTGAGACATGTCGCCTCTTTAAATTTGCACTCTAGTTATAGAGTGCAAACATTTTAGCTTTGTTTGGCCTAACTACTTTTGGTCCACATTTCCAGAGAGCACCTGTGCACCTTCCGTGGGGGCTGATTGTTCAACGCCGATAACGATGTTGCAGAGGGGGTAAAAAAACAAACGCCTCACTGCTAGTCAGGGATGTCTGCCTCTGTCTTAGAACACATGGGGTCCTGTTTTTGTCTGCTGAATCCACTTTCAACATGCTGCTAGAGGCATTTTCCCTGTACGAGGCATTTCAGCTTGCTGGTTGACATAGCAGACGCTCTAAGGTGAGAAGAGACCTCTGTATCTGTTTGACACCGTGACTGGTGCCATCTCATGCTGAACGAGATGCTGCTGCTGCCTGAGGAAGAGACAGCAGACATTCCTTACCTGCACAACTGCAGGTTTCTTGGCCCTTTATTCTGGCCTCTTCAGAAGTCTATCCAATATTTCAGCCTCTGAATAAGTCATATCTAAACTTACTTACTCTCCCTGTATTACATTAACTAAATGTCATGATCAACCCTTATTTGTAGGACACTGGTATCCAATGCACTTGGTTCCAGTGAGTAGGACACTGGGCATGTACTAAAATGCAGTTTTTCAGCTGAAGAGTTTATATTCAGGTTATTGAAGCAGTCAGGGGTGAACAAATCAGTGACTTTGAACAAGAACCCACTTTCCTGTGGCAGGACTTGGGAAAGAACCAGTTTGAAATCCAATCCAGGCTATAGCCAGCAGACAATATTCTTGCCCAGCTCTGAGTATGGAAATTTAACTCACCTGGGCTTCTCTGGATACGACTAAGATGCTGTTCATTGAGATCTTTAGCACCCATCTGTGCTCCTGCAATGTTGAGTGAGCTCTTCACAAGATCACCGCTTTGTGTTTTTGCATATGAGACCTCCAAGCCATTCTCTGATTTAAAACCAGGGCAAAATTGGCTGCTCAGACAGCTGATAAAGGTTTCTCAGCCTTCTATAGGAAGAGAACATGTGTTGCTGTCTCCCCCTTTACTGCCTGTGTTGCAGTGGGTTCACAGAGGTTGCACATAGGGAAGTGTTGGAATTAATCAGTTTGCTGGCTCTGCACTCCTCAGCAACCCTGCAGTTTCCTGGGAGTGTCTCCATGAAAACAAGCGGGAAAAAGTACCAACCTCTGTATTCCTGGAATAAGCTCAGAGCTCATTATCTAGAAAGTGTATGTGGATGCTGCTCCTCCCTCAGACTGTAATTTGGGAAAAGAGAGCAGCTTGTGAACTTGGGGTGATTAGACATAAAAGTGAAGTAATTAAACTGAGGAAAACACATAAAGCTTTTATTGTTATTACCATCTATTAATATTTTTGTAATGTCAATTTAAACTTAGAATTCTTACATAATCTATTGCATTCAGGTAATAACAAGTGAAATTTTATGAGGTTTTTTTTCTGTTTATGGATTTCTGTTTGTTTGTTTTCCATTTGTTAAAATAGTGGAACAGACCTTGTCTATAGCAGTTACACATCAGTGCAATTTTATGTAACCTTTAAAAAGTTATGATTGCCTGAAATTCACTGTATCAGAATGGGGTTTTATTGAAATGTGCACATCACTAATAGGGCAAGTAAGTTTGACATGTAGGTGTTTTGTCATAGGTCATTGCATCTCACCGTGACATAAACAGTGATTTGCATGTGTCAATCTTTTTCATTTAGCTTGTCATATACTGGAATGTTGTGATGGGCTGGCCCAGGACGTCATCAGCACCATAGGGCAAGCATTTGAACTTCGATTTAAGCAGTACTTGCAATGCCCCTCTAAGACACCTACTTTCCCTGATAGGTGAGTGCAATTGCAGAAGACAGAGGAATGACCTTCTTTAGCTTTCAATTTACTTGATAAAATGTGGACAGTGTTGCTGGAGACAGACAGGACTTGAATACTTAAAAAGATTTCTGTTGTATTAGCGAAACAGTGTTTACCTAATGAATATGAAAGAAGTACAGTCAATTTAAAAGAATAGTCTAAATATGGATTTAACAATAATGTTAAAATGATCATGTCTTTTGTGCTGTAGTTAGTAGGCAGAATTGGATGCCCAAGAATGGTTGTTATTTGTGGCATTTCCTCATTACTGTCACAGCAGCTGTGTCAGTTTAGATGGAGTAGGTCAGACTGCTGGGCTTCCAAAATGACTAATGATGTTTCAGTATTTCTCATAATAGGGTGATGTTTCTAGGAATGTGATGTATTGCAGGGAGGTTTGAATGCACTGATATCTTGAGGATACAAACTCTGTCTGCTTGTATGTGTTCAAAAGTCTGGAATATAAAGCCTTCTGTTTTCTTTAGACACATGGATTGCTATGTGCTTATTAACATTACCAGAAACCCTAGTGAGCTCGTACCCTCTGTAATCTCTTATATCGGAGCAAAAACCTGTATATAGGGAATATCAAATGCTACTATCTTAATCTGGAAGCATGCTGTATTCACATCTCTTGACTTTGCGAAGTTCTTGCAGAATTACATTGATGATGGTGCAGTCATAATGAATGACAAAGATTTAGAGTGTAGTAAGTCCATCAAGGCAGATACTACAAGTGCTATTTTAAGGTTAGATAAAATTGTTTGTTAATGTAGTTCATAATGGTCTTTAAAGCCAAGTTTAAACATACTCTATTCAGCATGAAGAATTTGATCCATTGCAAAGGAGGTTTATGTCAGTTTGCCTACACAGTGAAGATCTGCTGCATGTTCCATCATTGCTTCCTGACTTAGAGTGGTAGCTGAAGTGTGCATACAATATGCAGTAGTGATCCCCTGACAAGGCAGTCTTAACCTGCTGAAAGTGTCTTTAAGTGGTTTACAAGCGAGAGGCAAAAGAAAGCGCTCTCTTCCTTACAGGATGCAGAGTTTTGAGGACCCATGGACGGAGGAAGATAACGAGGCAACAGACCATCCCTATTACAACAACATCCCAAATAAAATACCTCCCCCTGGCGGATTCCTTGATGCCAGGCTCAAAACAAGGCTTCCCACTGCTGCAGACACAGCTCATGTCAGTATAATTTCATTTCTACTCTCTTGCTGATTGGTCCAAAATTTTTAAAAGATGTGTTTTATGGTGGATACCCTGGGACTGTCTGTAACTCACAGCTCTACCTGTGTGGCCACTTTCTATCTGAATGGCCATTGCAGATCGAGGGGGCAGCACATTAGGCAGCAAATTAAAGGAGGTGAAATCCTCATGGTATTAAAAGTTTAACCAGGTTCAAGGAACAGAAATCCACTGGGGGCTACTACATTTGCAGAAACCATGTCTGCTTCAGAGAGTATCGAATAGTGCGTATTAACTGGGAATGATTTAATGCAGAATCATTTAAGCAATCTACTGCAGTCATTACTAGCAGCTCATTATGTTAATGATTTGGCAGCGATCAGCGTTCAGCCAGGTTCCTAGGTAGGTTTTCCACTTCATGTTGAACTAAGGTCAGTTTGAATATTTCTACCAGCACTCATATCAAAAGTTTGACTGCCGTATCAATGTAGCCCCCTAAGAGGTGCTTTCAGATGCAGCACAATTCTGCTTAAATCCAGAGAAGTCCTGTCTGTAGCTAACATCCTCCCCTCAGTGCCCAAGTGCATCCCCTGGTACCAATGGGAATCTTTCAGCTCATGCTGCAAAGAGTGCTGGGGCTGTCTTCTGCTCCCACGTGTGGGGCTGTCTTCTGCTCCCACGTGTGTTTCTGTGGAACACTTTTCCAAGTAACAGGTTGTCAAGACTCACTGTGTGAGTATAAACTAAAGAAATGATGCATCATTTGGTATCATGGGAGGGGTCACTAAGAGCAGAAAGCAGGGAAGAGCACCTGAAGTTCACTGGTAATATCTTACTCTTACACAAATGTACTTGGGATAAATATATTCTGACATTATGATGAATTGGAAAGGAAGAGTGAGGGTACACAAAATATATCCAAGGAAATTGGCAGAGCCACTTGTATTGAGTATGAGCATTTTAAAGGCAATTGAAAAATTTCCTCCACATGTTTCCATTCTAGTCTGCATCAGGAGTGGGAGGAGAGCAAATTTATTATCAGAGCCACCACGTAGGAGAAAAATTCAGTGAAGAATGGCATCACGGGCCTGTTAAACAAGGTGAGTTTTGCTACTTTTAGCTGTAATACTGCAGGTGGTCTTGAAGGGCAAAGCATGTGAAAGTCCGATGCCTCAAATTCTTAAGGCAATAAACTGAACTTGGTTGATAGGTTCCCTTTGAGGGAGTTTTAGTGTCGATACTAGTGAAAAGCATTTGATTATTACCTCTGGATAAATTATTAAATACAGAGCAGTTCATAAATAGAATTACCCAGACTTTCAGCTTTCTAACTTTCTATATCTTAAAACACTATGATATTTAAGGGTCCGCTGCATGATCTATTCTGAAAATCTGATCCACTAGGATATGCAAAATAGTATTTTAAAATGAAGAGCCTAAAATGAAAAATTTAATTCGAAATGCGAAGCAATGCTCTCTATTCAATAAGTAGCAAATAGTGCATAAAGTTCCTGTTGTTGTCTTTGAATTTCAAGTAATTACAAAACACATATAAAATTTCACCCCATCCAGATTTTTGTGAGAACTTTACTGTGTTTCTAGCGACACTTTTGTTCAAATGCCAGAATATATTCTCTATTGTTAATCTGCTCACATTTTAGGATTTTCTACCTTCTCCTCCTCTCATGACTCCCTAGCAGAAATTAATTTTTGAAATTTATAATCTCTACTTACAAAGATTTCCTTTCCTCCTGGGAAATAGCCCCACAATACCCTCATTGAAACATAGTTCTGAATCCATTAATTAATACTTTTTTCTACTAGATCCAGCAATTATTGACTTTACATCTCCCAGTCCAGGAAATTTTAAACCTGTGATGATGTGGTGTGATGATAATTGGTCAATACTGTTCTGTTGATTGCACACACACACACACACAAACACATAAAAAAAGTCTTGAATTTTCTAGGATCTCTGGATATTTGTAGTATGTCAGAAGAGAAATCAGAAGTAGCACCAACAGCACAGCTGCCAATATATGTAAACACCCAGAATATAAATAGAGAAGATCTATTGGCACTTCAGGCAGATGCTGAAAGTACCTTCGGTGGAACAGCAGAGGATGCTGAAGCAAGCAGCCCAGGAAAGGATCTGTTTGACATGAGTGAGTTCCTTCCTATTCACTTCCTTTCTAACAAGCCACCAAATATGTTTATGCATTAGTTCTGTATTAAAAAAAAAAAAAAATTAGTTCTCCAAATTTAGTGTTCCTGGTGTAATTATGATGAATTATAGAATCCATTGTGGTTTCACATTGGACTGAACTAAAATAAAGGTGGCTGAAGATTTGGAATTAGTCTGTAAAATATCTGAGTTAAGGTTAGTTGCAGTCCATGTTATCCGTAACGTCACAGGCAATTATGTCAGAAGAAATATTAATCAGGAAGTTTGCCATAAGGAAAGTGAAGGAGGGTGAAGGTATGGATGGGTGCATGGAGAATTGTCTTCAGCCTGTCCTGTGAGTGTGTTATGAGGAAGTCAAGGCATATATGGAAAGCTTTGTGCCACAAGGAATCTAGCATGGAAATTAAAGCACTGAGTTACCTCTTACTCTGGGTAGACCTACTGTCCTATCCATTCCAACTTTGAAGGCAGCTTTTTCTAGATCAGAATCATCACCATAGCTGCAAAACTATGGCTTAAGCATCAGCCACAGTTTGGTATTGGTGATAGTAATACACATTGTTTTCAGCCTCAAGGAGATACATAAAGTGAAGAAATATTGAAAGAAATTTGATGCACAGAGAATTTTCTTGGGTTTTTTACTCTTCCTACCTCAAATAAATTGCTTATGTATGCTTTATTTAATTCAGTTCACATAAAAAAGGCAGTGAGACAAAGCAGTTGATGCCTACAAATTATTTGTAAAATAAAGTTCTACATTTCTGCTATCTTAGTATAGAAAAAATTTTTTCCTGGCATGCTTTTGCTGAGATATCGCTCTATTTCCACAGCCTAGTGAGATGTTCAATTGAAAGAAAGGAGGAGAGAAAAAAGTTGAGAGTATCTATCTGTGAATATAGATCTCAAATGAGAAAAAACTGCTGTTTGAAATCAGGGATGTTAACTCTTACCAGCCATTGGAACATCAGAGAAAAGAAATATTAGAAAATGTGCCAATTAGCCCTAAGTTAGTGGTTTGTTGAGTTAAATACATGTTGCACTTCGTGAAGACCATGGTTTAGTGAAGACATTGATAAGCTACTTGTATAACTGGCTGAGATCTCAATAAGCTGCAACAGCACAATATTTTTCCTATTTCTTTGACCTAAACTAGCCTCTCTGTGGCCCCATGCAAACAGGGCTTTGTACTTCTCGCATCTGAAAAATCTATTTAGAGCTGGTGTATCGCTTCACTGTGCTGCTCTCCAGATGTCCTTTTGTAAGCCTAGGGGCACAGAACATTTCTTTTTGATATGTACTGGTGGGCCAGATGAAGGTCTTGCAAGAGTAAATAGCTTCCAAGAGGTCAGTACAACATGTAACGAAGCACTCTATGACGTATTTGCTATTTCTGTAAAACTGTTGGGATCCGTAATGACACTTCTTTCCACTCAATTCTACAATTGCACAAGAGTTCAGGACTTAGCTGAGGTTTAAAACCTGCTTCCCCAAGGCTGATTTTTTGCTAGGAAAATTATGTTAGATGTGTACACATGTCTGTTTTGCAAGGTTCTCTTCCTAGATGGAGGCTAGGAGTAGGCTGAGTGGTGAGGGTGAATGTTCCCTACTAGACATAGCCTTCGGCTAGAGACTCAGTAATGGATAATTTTTAAATGAATAAGTTGTTTGAACAGAGACCAGATATGAGTATAATGACATTAGGTACCCCTATTATGCAATTTATTTGAAATTAAACTGTCTGACATACCTTGAAAGACTGAAGGAGAGGTTTTCCTGGTACCAGATCGTATAAATACAGCTGTTGACAACAGCCACTACTGAAATAAGCCAGTACCTTTCAAAAGATCCTGAAAAGGTTCAGTCTGATTTTGATCAGTATCGTTCTGTGCATAACATACATTTTAAACATATTACACTCCTCAGTCTTAATATATTACATAAATCAGTAAGTCTATTAGGGTATCTTCCCTCAATTTTTTCATAAAGAGAAGTGGCTGTAATGCAAAATAAGTTTAAAACGACCAGAATATCACCATTTTTCTATATGATTTACCTCTGAATGATCCTGCTCTTGTTTCTATTTCCATAACCAGAACCATTTGAAGATGCTCTCAAGAGTCAAACATCTGAGGCTATGTTGAAGAAATCCACCTCCACGGGATGCACCAGTCCTCCTTTATCCAGAGCAGCTGTCCGGACTGAAGCTGAAGAGCTGAGTACAGAGCCATGGTATCAAGGAGAGATGAGCAGGAAAGAAGCAGAACAGCTATTAAAGAAATGTGGAGATTTCCTCGTGAGGAAGAGTACCACGAATCCTGGCTCCTATGTGCTGACAGGCATGCACAAAGGACAAGCCAAGCATCTTCTTTTGGTGGACCCAGAAGGAACTGTAAGCACTGACTCCTCACTAATAGATGAGGTTTCTGACTCTATTAATTTTCTCTAAACGCCTTTAATCTTCTTTACAGCTTATTCACACCTTATTATAAGCACCACCTCATATCTCTGATGCGCCATCACATCTCTAATTCTCTCCTTGATGCCTAGCAGAAGACCTAGCACATGATTTCTGCACATTGCAGGGAGCCTTAGGGCTGATTCCCTAGCAAGTTCACACCTTGACCACTCCTGTGCAGTCAAAAGTGCAGCTAAGCTACTTCAGCATTCTTGCTAAAGGAAGGAGGTTTGGCTAGCCTGCATGCTGGCAATTTCCACTTGGCATCTCTGTTACCTGGGATATGCACCAGGCCCTCTGTTTTCCTGCATGTATGCCGAGGAGAGAAGTGGGGTAAGCCTGTTCCATCTCTTTGCTGCCCAAAGACTCCCTCAGCTGATGAAGGGACCTTCCCCACAGCAGGGTGGAGGGGGCAAGGGAGCTCTAGTTTTCTTAGGTGTCCTCTTCTGCTTCTGTGGAGACATCTTCAGAGAGATTGAAATCATTGTCATGAGTTTTGTTCTTGGCTCCTGGTAGCTGCAAGTAGGAAACTCCTTTTCCTCTATAAAGGACAGCTTTAGATAACCCACCCCAAGGTAAGTGAGAAACTCCCATAAAGGAGTTGGCCTGTTGGCATCTGAGCTGAGAAAGCCGTGGCAGAATTATGTCAATCCTTCAGAGTCTGTACTGCAGCTGTGAGGAGTGTCCATGGCACTTACTGCAATTAATTACGTTTGCCACATGAGGCCAGTCAAAGAATGGTTTTGCACTCTTGGGTGCCAGCTGCCTAGTGCTGGATTTGATGGGTATGCCAGCACAGGGGAGTGACTCTACACCTCTTGAGGGGCAGCCTCTGTCCCTAAAATTTGCCCACAGTTTTGTGACTCTTGCAACAAGGTAGCCTAATTTTCTTTTAGGCATAAACCCACAAATAACTGTTACAGGCAAGGGAAACACTGCTGTGCCACCTGGGAAGTGCAGGAATGCTGTGTCCCACTGGGAGCTCTGCTGCAGCGCTGACTGGCATGGAATACTCAGGTCCTGTGATGACTTCCAAGGCATTTTCTTCCTATACAAGTTGCAGGGCCCTTCCCCCCCGTCTTTGCTGCACTGCCTCTAGTGCATCTCTAATTTGCTGACCTCCTTGGTTAGAGACCTGCTTGTTATCTGCACCTATCCCTTCCCTCAGCCTGCTTCTATCACCATGGCCCAAATGGCTCTGAGATGCTCTGCTCAGGAGGCAGTCTTCCAGAACAGTGATTTTCTGCAACCGTAGTTAGTTACAGACAGCTGTGCTGTCTGTATGATCTGTGGGATCCTGATACAGCTTCTGAGCAGCTCTATTTGCAACTTGTCAAAGTGGAGCATCATCAATAAAACCTGGCCAGTGTGTGGCCAGCCACCGCAGTGTGCCAGTGGCTTGCATTTCATCTGCATGGTCTCAGCGGGATTGTTCTTGAAGACTGATTCACACAAATGCTGCCTGAAAATTAATTTCACATACAGAACCCAGTGACACGTAACAGGTCTTAAGGGTGCATTCTTAGAGCAGAGTTAACTGTCCAGTTGCTTCTGCTCTCATCCAGCTAACAAAAAATTAAGAAAAGGCAAAAGAGATCCCTCATTCAGATATCAGATGCTTAAAATGGAAGACTGCGGGATTTTCTCTAGGTTTAGAATTGGACCTCTGGTGATGGTAGAGTAAGATGGTAAGAACATCTTAGAATACAGATAACTAAAGTTAGTGCTTTTTTAGATAGATCTTTTCATTTTGAAATACAGTTTGATTTTAGAGAAAGTAACATTTCAAAGCAGAATGTTTCAGAAATTGGGACAACCTTTTGGTTTCCTTCAGTGACATAACTATGTGTAGACTGACAGAAAGCATCATATGCCATCAAAGTTATTTGTTTCCTTTTTTTTTTTTACCATGTGACATACTTTGTTAAGCTTCTAGCAATTTTTCAGAACTTAATGTCGAAACGGAATTATTTCAGGAGAGGTGTCCACCACAGCATAAGATGACTTTTGGAAGTTTTAACACAAGTTTTTCTCTCTTCCTGAGAATAGTTCAAGGAGAACAGATGACATTTCTTACTGAGAGCAGTGCTCACAGGTGTTTGCTTGAGGTGGTGTAGAGCCGGCCCAATAAAAAGTTTTAGTGCAACACGATGTTTGCTTGAGGTGGATCTGTGCTCTGTTTGTAGCAGCTGTTTGCCTATGCCTCATATGAAACATAGAAAGGAAATTTTTTGTGAACATGTGGCTAAATAATTAAAGATTGCTTTGGAATATAGATTAGTTGTTGGCTTCTGATAATTCTGACTATTTTATCCTGTAATATCAGTTTCCTCCTATCATGGGTGGAATATTGCATACCAGTAGGATGCTGCTACAGAGGGCTGGTATGTGGGCTAGAAAAATTATTTTCCTGCCCTGAAGTGTTTCATTTCCAAAGGCACAGGATGGGTTGTGCAGCACAGGGCAAACCAAAGCTAAGCAAATATGGTGGCCAGATCACTTTCTAGGAAGGGAGTTTTCGAGTAGTGGAAGAAGAAGGTCTCAAGAAAAGCACAAAAATGCTGAGGTGCACAAAGAAGCTGGTTTCTGACATATCTGGCATGATAGCTCTTTCTAATTGAAAAGGTACAAAAGCTCAAAGAAGTATGTGGTCCTTTTGAAGAAGAAAAAAATGATCTAAAAATCTGACTTACAGTGAAACAAAATCATGAACAGAAGTTTTCAATCAGACCTGTTCAAAAGAGTAATAAGAGTAGGCTGGTCCATGGAATTGCATGCAAAATATCTATTTGGTGAAAATAGGAGGAGTGAGAGAGAAAAGAGAAGCCATGCTGGAGAAGCACCAAATTTCCACCAATTTTGGTGGAAAAGTTTCTAAAATATGATTTTGTCATTTTATTCTGAGACAATTTTAGTGTGAAGTTAAGGGGGAAAGTAATAACTCTTTAATCTATCTTCTTGCATCCTTTTTTTAAAGGTTCGTACAAAAGATCGCGTCTTTGACAGCATAAGTCATCTCATCAACTATCACCTTGAGAATAATTTGCCTATAGTTTCTTCAGTGAGTGAGCTCTGCCTGCAACAGCCTGCTGAAAGAAAAAACTGATTCCAGATAACTCTTTTAGTTATTGCAACTTGCAAGCTATAACTGGTAGAAATCGCAGATCTGAAAAGAAAATGTACATTAAAAAAAATCCCACATATTCACATACATTTCACAAGTATGTTTTACTTAAGTTTAAAAAGCCCCATTTCATATAGTACACTTGAACACTTTCAATGCTTTATGTGACATGAAATCTCAGCAAAAGTCTTTCTTAAAAGTTATTTCAACAAAATTGTTCAGATTCTCTAATGTGAATGTTGATAGTGTACATACACATTATATATACAAATACAGTATATATTTATATTTTTCAAGTCAGTCTGTTGACAGTATAAAACTATCTTCTGTGCCATGTGTTTTTACCAAAACAAAAATTACAAGTGTGATTATTCAGATAAAAAATAGAACTCAGCAGTCTCAATTTCTTGAGAAATTTAATATCACAAATCTTACTTCTGATTTTACCTAAGAAGCACAACTATGGGGATCACAGATGGATTATGCTAGTTAACCATAGAAGGAATCTGAATTCAGTAACTAGTATTCCAACTCAGAAATTTAGCATAAAATATTTTTTAAAAGCATTATTCAGTGTCACTGATATCAAAAGAATTTTATCTTTCTGACGTCAAGTTTGAATTCTTATATGATGCTATTCAAAACATTTGTATCTTTACCAATTATTTGGTGTGGTCTCTATGTGTATGAGGTGTGTGCTTTGATTTTTCTAATGATATTGTAACAGTATACTGTAACTTCAATTTATTAATTTCAGTGCTAAGGTTATTTGTAAGTAGTTCTCTGCTTATGGTGAAGATCTAGATGTCCTTGAACTACGAGTCTCAAATGAGATGTTGCATACTGATTAGACAAGTTCAAATAACTTGTGCTTAATAGGCTTAATACAAGATGTACATGACTGTTCAAAGACATACCTGAAAAATCTTTTCTTCTTATAAGCAGTGAAAACTATCTGAACTCACTGATCAGTTTTGCAAATGATGTCACTTGCATTTACTTGCCAAAGCATAACTTCATTTTGGCCTTCAGCAAGTGATAGGTATTGGAAATATACTGTTTTTCTCTAAATATCGAGTCTAAAATGTACACATATGATAAAGACACACTTCTGGCAGAAATGCCCTTAACTTTTGGTACTGGGAAATGCTTTAAGGGATGTTTGTACTGTTCACATTTAAGCATTATATAAAGTTATTTTTCCATTCCATGAATCTTATTATGAGTCAAATTCAATAGACACAGTTCCTGTAAATGCAATGCTTGTGCCAGAGTCAAGATTTAGCCTTCAGCAATCCAAAGGTCTTCTCTAGCACCAGTCTCTCAAATCAAATCTTCAGACTTGATTCATAAAAACTCAACAGGGCAAGTCTAGGTTAAGTATCTGCCTGCCCTGCAGTACACTTAAAGTTATATTTGGTTTTAAGAATTTGTTAAAAATTTTTGTTTTTTGTTTAAAAGTTTTTCAAACCATAATCAAACTGACTGAAGAATTCACTCAGAATATATTCAGGCAGGACTACCATGTTAAAATTCTGAAATACCTTTCCTGTACCTTCTGCTTTTAAATATGGTGAAGTTGCAGCTTGAAAGTTTGATTTCGAGTAATCTCAAAACTGAAAATTATTGAGACACCTGAGACTAATGATGTAATCTGCACCTATGTAAAAATACACTTGATTCTGTAATTAGGACATCCAGAAGCCAATCTAAGACATTAGTGAACCAAATGCTTGTGATAAATTTTACTAAACATAGTTATTATTTGATATTTCTAGGTCTGAATGGGAGCTGAGAGTAAAGAAGAGCAATTAAATGCTGAATTCAGCCCAAATCAGTATGGCACTGAGTTTAGTGGAATTCTTAAAATTTCATTTTACTAGACTGGGAGTGGCAAGGAAATATAAATAGATCTTATGTCCCAAAGTAGTATCTAAAATGACTTTATCTAAGAGTCTCAAAAAATGACTTTATTTATCCACGTCTCACCATATTCCAGTTTAAATTATCTCAGATGCCACTTTTTTTCTTATATAATGCTTGTTATTCCATGTTCTAACCTTCCTGTAGCCATATTCTGGAAAGTTTTCACTGTGATAACACTACGATTAAGAGAAGATGTCTTTTTTTTCTTAGAATATGGCATATCATTTCAGTAAAAGTCTGCTGTGTAAGCCCCTTAGGTGTCTTCAAAAAGTCCTCCTCCTTCCTATGTCTGTTTTGGATTTCTGAATATCCTGGAAACACGGGACAAGATTTGGGTGTATGAATTAAAGGCACTAAACATACACTGAAATAAATATTTTTTTTACCACTGTCCTAGCTGTAGTTTTAATAACTTAGCAGCCATTTAGCTGCATGTTTTGGAAATTAAATCTGGTGTCAAGGAGACACAAAATGAAACCGCTTGACAGAAATACTAAATTTCCCAGACTATATTTCACAAACTGTGCCTCCAGGGAAATGTGGCTATTTTGAGCTGCTCTGTCAGCACAGCCAATTTTCCCAGCTCAGCATACCCCTTGATGATGCAAAGGTTACATGTATCTTTTCTAGATGCAATGTAGTCTGTTGCCATTGCCATTGCCCTGTGACAGTGCCCTGCTGACCCCATGGGCCAGCAGATCCTGTATGGCCACACATCAGGACACACAGGTTTTCCACATCACTGGGAGCCACACAGTCTCAAAACTTTCCAGAAAGGAAGAGCATGTGTGCCACTCAGTACTCCATTTGTGGATCCTGCCATGTTTTTTGTCCCTGTCACTCTGCTAGATTTGGCTTTCCCCTTTAGGAGAAGGTAAAATAAACTAATAAAATACAAATAAACTGGAAAGCTATTTGGATAGCCGTTCCAAACCACTTGTCATTAGACCAATTTTAAAGTGATTTCAACCATAACTAACTGAACCTGCTAGATTGGCTAGGCTGATTTCTGTGAGGAGCCAACACTGCAACCAATTTAAGAGATGTAAAAGTAATAAGATAGATTTAAATGCAGAGAAGGTACCTGAAAACCTGACAACTGACAGCATAATAATGTGAGTCTTTTAATGTGCACTTTTGGTTTGGAGTACCTCACCTTTTTTACTACTTTTTATGCAGTCTCAAGGACTAGACACTTTCCTGTGGTAATTCACTACCATGACTTCAAGAAGTGGGATTTTACCGAGAGAAAAAAATTTCTAGACTCAATAAAAATCACTGAGATTAGGTCATATTGTAGTATCTTTTGATGTTTTTCCAATGAACAGCTGAGAAGTCAAAACCAGAACTCTAAATATCCTGCAAGACTGTCTACATTGGTTTTGAGTCCTATCTGATTAACAGTTTTGATTGAAAATTGTTTTGCAATTATAGGAATTAAGGACAATAAAAACACATTCAATGCCTTTAAGCAAAGAACATATATATGTGAACCAGGTGATTTTGATTACTTTTTATTGCAGATCTAGACTAATTATTAAGTTAATAAAATTAATCCAATGTTGCTGATAGTCGTAGGCTGGGCATCTAGGTACAATCACGTTCCCAAACTTTCAGTTATTTCTGATGCTTCAGAAGCAATGAAATCTGAAAATATGGTTTAAAAACTGCATTACCTTCTGACAAATGGGAGTTTGCTCAGAGTGAGGAGTTGCAACTTCCCTTAATGCCAGAAGAGAATGTTCAAACTAACCATGCCTGGCCGGTCACTGTATGAGAAGATGCAATTTCCATGGCTTAATGCCTGCCTTTTTGCCCAGTTATACAGTTTTTTCACTCCATTTCCTATAGGGTTCACAACGGGAGGTAACAGTGATTCTAACAAAACCTGTCTGCCAGACACTCAATAAAAACTTGAACAAAGGACATAGTCCTGGGACCAAGACTTCAGTGCAAAATGTGTACTGTCACTGGAACAAAATGTTTAACAGTCTGGTAAATATCACCTACCAGCACTAAATTTTCTACAGCCTGTATTCCTACTTTTACCACACTGTGGAATAATATACCCACATCTCTTATCACCATGGTCCCCAGGCATCATGTGCAGTAAGATGAGGAGAATTTACAAAAATATATACTGTAGTGTGATTGCTGCTGGCACATCAAAGCCAGATATCAGCTATAATGTATTAATAACAGAATTGATGCATATTTAGACATTTTTCAGTAGATTTGATAACCAGCAAAGTTTTGCACCTTCTAGGAAATTTGCAGTTATCAGAAGCATATTTGGAACTTGTGAATATTCTGAGAAAAAGCTTACAAATCCTGTTTTCAAAATTTTGTTCTTAGCTTCCAATATCTATCCAAAGTAAGTGGTCGAACCAAGAATTTATATTAAGTAAACCATAATCCATATTTGCATAAAAGAAGTCTAAGCTGAAGTAAGAGACATACTTCCCTTTTTATCTGCCTGACAGTTTCAAAATATGTCTGAATAAAGTCTAAATTCAGACATACCTTAGTGTCTTGTCAAAACCACTTTGACTTAAATGGTCTTTTTTGCCCAAACTGAGGTTTGCACTCTTCACACTTCCGTATGGGTTCAAAGCTGTCAAAACGTGGGTGATTTTCCACTTAATGCTCTGTGATCAGCTGGACTGACTCTACACACTCACATACAGCGTCTGTGGACCTTGGTCATATCTACTGGATGCAGCTGGAATGAGGGCAGGCCAGTGGAAAAGACAACATGGACACACAGCTTGCCTGCGGTTAACCAAAGGCTTGGATAGAGAGTGAAAAGCTATCTTGGGAGAGAAAACTTCAGGGATAAGAAATGTGAAGCCTGGAAACATGAGCCAGTAGGCATTTAAGCCACTAATGAGAATAGAGAGTTGTTGCCAAATTATAAACATGCTAATTGGTTGATAGAGTTAAAGCAGAACCTCTGGGGATACAAAGCCTACTGCTCATCTCTTATTGAGACATTTATGTTCACAAGCCCTGATCTGTTCCTCTGCACACTCCAACGTAAACATCTCCTAAGGCTACCAGGGAGAAAA